ACCTTATCTACTGTGGCTCACAGCAGATGGGACGAGGACAGACATGAAGCTGCCTACAGATGCTGACTCTTAGCAGATGGAGACCTGGTGTCCTCCCAGGATGTGGTTTCTTTCTAGGACTCAAAGGAGGCCAGAGAAAAGGGCCAAAAGATACTCAACCCTGTCCACTGTTTGTAACAAATCTCAAGGACCACGACTGTGTTTATCATGTCTTCTTTGAATGTTTTGTATGGTCATGGGAATGTTATGGGTTTGTGCTATGTTTGAATTTTACCACTTGGAAAATAGTAGAATTTCTCTCTCTTTATATTATTGGCCATATAGAACTTCTTAGAAAACTCTGAAATATAAAGCTTTATGGTGGGTCATAAGAAAAAAAAATGCATATGATTGTTATTTTGTATTTCGTGTGTGTGTGTGTGTGTGTGTGTGTGTGTGTGTGTGTGTGTGTGTGTGTTTATATTGGTATGTTTATATTTAATTTTAAACATACTCATGGTTACGCACTCGGTAGGGGAGGTGCGGGTGATTAGCTTTGTGAATAAAACAGCAAATATAAACACAAGTAACCAATTTACAGGGTGTATCAGGCTTCCATAAAATATGCCATGCAACCCCACATGGTTACACACAAAGCACGTTATTCTCTGTTTAAAGAAGGAGGAGGAAGAGAACAAAAAGAAGGAAGAGGTTGGAGAGGAGAAAGTGGAAGAGGAGGAGATCTAAGATCCTATATCAAAATGATCACAACAGAGCAAAATGAATATGGCAAGTATCTAACGCTTCATTTGGAACAGGGAAGTGTTATTTCATCTTGTGAGTCACAACTGATGGTTGGACAACAATAACCAAGAACCACCGCTCAGACCAGCCAAGCTAGACATGTCATCATCAGGAAAAGAAAGGGCCGATTATCACAGCCAGGGCCAGCAGTTAAGAAATCATTCATTCAGCTTTGCTTATTTACACTGCCAATTTCTTAGAGGAGATCTTTCATGTCAAAAAATCGTAGCAGGTTTTAAATTTTCACACACACATACACACACACACACACATTATTTTTTTCATAATTTTACCAGAGACAAAATTTCCAGCCTGACTTGTTAGCATACCACTTAGGATCCCAGCACCTGGAAGATAGAGTCAGGAGGACCAGGAACTCAGGCCAGTCTGGATCACATAAGACTTTGTCTTGAAAATTCAAACAAATGACTAAAATTAACCGAGATGGACCATGTGGGCTGGTCAGAATCTTGGATTTAATTTTTTTTTAAATGTGTGTATATGGAGTTCATGTGTACCATGTGAATACAGTGCCCGTAGAGGCCAGAGTAAGGAAGGCATTGGATGGCAGGAACTGGAGTTATAGTTGTGAATCACCATGTGGGTTTGGGAAACTGAACCCTGGTCCTCTTGGAGAGCAATAGCACTCCTAGTTGATGAGCCATCCATCTGTCTGCTCTGTAAGGTTTACTTTTCTTAAACTGAGAAAACAGGTACAATTTACAAAATTTGCAAATTAGCCTTTTTTACATTCTCAAGTGTGGAGATGATAGTGATATGGGGGCTGACTTCTGATTTGTTTTGTTGGGGGAGGCTTGTGAGTGCCACAGCGCACCTGTGTGAATCAGAGAACAATTTCCTGGAGTTGGCTCTCTCCTTCAATCATGAGGATTCCAGGGAGTGAACTCAGGTTGTCAGGGTGACAGCAAGCACCTTTCCCCACCAACCCCTGGTTTGTATCACATGAGTTATATCAGCTAGACTAGGTGGCACATCACATATTTTTACAATTAATCTCCCATCAAGCAATCGGAGGAAGAGTAAGTGATTACTTCTCAGAGCAACTCACAGGGAAGGTTCTGGACAAAGACACAAGACACCAGTAGCATTGTCTGGTTTATTAACATAATTGAAACATTTTGCTGATAAAACTCTTGCCCATGACTAGTCTAGCAACAAAACGCTACTCAAAAATATTTCACTGTGAAATGGTATTGCAACTTGAATGGAGTTTTTAACTAATGAGTTGTTTTCCATAAAGTAAACCTCACTTTTAAAATCAACAGATGATATGATTTAAAACAAAAAACACGAAAGCTTCCTCCTCCCTATTCCAACCCCAGGAGGATCGAGCTGAGGGCTCTGGGACTCCACTGAAGGTGGTGAGAAAGGGCTGCAACTCATTTCTTACTGGAACAGGACACTTGCAAACACATACCGCACAGAAACCCAGTCAGCTCACAATGTGTGGGTCACCTCAGCATGGCAGACCACACCCTCATCACCACAGGCTATCTATAAGGTGTCTTAATTACATTTGCTGCACAATCAGCCCATCTCCATCCTTTGCCTCTCACCTGCCGCTCCTCCTGCTGTAACCTTGGGAGAGACCCTGAGCTGTTCATATGCTGTTTTTGCATTGCTGTTTTTTGTTTGGAGACAGGGTCTTGGGTGCACAGAGGCTGGGCTTGAACTCCTGATCCTCCAGCCTCTACCTCTCAGTGCTGGGATCACAGTTATGTGCCACCACACCTGACATTGCATTTCTTTTCTAATAGAAACAAAAAAAAAAAAAAAAAAAAAAAATACACCGGTGGTGCTTCTCTTAGTCCCCTAAAAGTGTGTGAGAATACCGGAGTGAGGGAGTGGATTTGGGCTCTCTGTAATCCCCCGGCTTTGGATGCAGTTTGATTATCAAGTTTTACTTCCCACGTTTGTGAATGGCAAGTTCGTGTGTTCTTTTCGGAGATTCTGAAACTTGAGACTAGAACGTGTGGCCAAGCCAAAATAGGAAGAGCATTGTCTCTGGAAACCAGCTGTGATTTCAGGCACTTCAGTAGGAGGCTTCCTTTGCTGGTCAATGTACATTCAAAGAAAATGAAAGCCAGGGACCCAGAGGCTACCTGGGATTGGGAGTGTGTGACAGACTAGCAACCCAGGTCCCAGCAGCCCTATCCCCGGAGGAGAGTTACTAACATTTCCCTCCTGCCCATCTATCTGCCTCTTGTTTAAAAATGGCAGGGACATTGTTTACTGTCAGCAGTAAATGATCAGACCATTCCACTCTGTGCCATCATCAGCATCTCTGGGCCAAGCTAATAATGGGCCAGCCTTCACAGGAAAGCAGCTGGTCCCCAAAGACAAGCATCCCGAGGACACACGAGGCACCACTTAAAACTGTCTTGGCTGGGGCAGGTCACGGTCACACTGCTGTTCTGCACTTGGGCGGGGCGGGGGTGGGTGGGTGGAGCCGGTGGTGTGCTCTACCTTTGCTCCAAAAATAAGGGAGAAAGAGACAGGGAAGTGAATGGACAATTCCACCTGGAAGGGACTCACTTCTGTTAAAGGAAAACCGTTTTCACATACCTCATCAAGATACAGCCCGCCCACCTGCTTCCCAGAACCCACTTCTGCACCTGTTCCCTTAGCTTGCCTTCCTTCCCTCTCTGCTCCTGGCCATTTGCTGCCCAAGGGTGCTGGGCTAGCCTGGGTCCTCATCTCAGGCTGTGAAGTAAATGAGGCTTGACCAGAGTCCAGAGGAGGAGCACAGTGAACCAAAGGGACACAAGAAAAGTCATCCTTCTTGCGTCTGCTCATGTGGACCTTTGTCAGCTCCAGAGCCTTCAAGACGTCATGTTTTCCCAGGCAATCAATCCAGCTCCTGGCTTTCTTTTGTCTGGGGAAACAGCATTCTCTTGTCATGCTTCCCAGGATGGGCTGCTTGGTCCTGGACCAGACATTGACTCCTCAGGGGTTCTGCTCCCTTGGTTTCAAAGAACTGGGAGCAAACGGGTTCTGAAAATTTTCTCTGTGACTTTTAGCCAAATGTTGGCTCTCTAGATTATAGAAATAATCTCCTCCCTCTGGAGATTGTTTCTACAGTCTAAAGAACCATAGCTCAGGCTGCTGTACATGATTCCATTCCTTTCTCTTGTAGTGAGCTGAGGGGGCTGGAGTCAAACAGGAGGTAAAGAACATCACCCCTGTTCAGTCCCACCTGGGCCATGTTCATGCTAGAAGTTAAAAGGAGCCTCACACTCAGGAGCCATTCCCCACGAACAACCAGAAATCCAAGAGCCAGACACCGGATGTGAAACACAAAACATAAAAGTCATTTCCTACTAGCTCTCCAGGCAGGGCATGAGCATCCAAACTGTCTTTGGAGGTAGAGAGAAGGGGCGGACAGTGGGGAGAAATGGGAGACAGCTCTGTTGTGAAACCACTCTTGGCTTGGTGGGGAGACCTCCTAGGGCATTGGCTGCTGCTGGGGGGGGGCAGCTCAGCAGCAAGGGTGAGTGCTTCCCAAGAAAGAAAGGGCTTTGGGCACAGATGGGCAACCTTAGGTGGAGTGGGGATCATGAATTCTCCTCAGGGTAACGAATTGCATTCTCCCAGATCATCCTGGACTTGCAGTTCCTAGCCAAATGGGCAATAAATAATCCCAATTAGCAAAGAATCTCTATGGTTAAGTGGATTCTTAGTGTGTTTTCAAAAGAAATTAAGGGGTTATCAGCACTTGGTCTTGCCTGTGATTCCTCTCACTGGCAGGAACACATCTTACCATGGCCTCTGGAGCTTTTGCTCTCTGGAAATGCCTGTCTGGCAGGGAACCCACACAATGCCACCAGTCAGACACAGAGCATTATGACCATGGTCATCTGAAGCTAGCTACTCAAATTCTGAGAAATCCTGCTTTTCCCAGACTTGTGTGCCAGCTTTCAGAACCTGAGAGTCTTATTCCTGACCAAAGGGGTCTAGGGTTGCTGCTAGTGTGTGTGTCTACGTGCATGTGTGTGTGTGCATGTGTGTGCTTGTGTCTGTGTGCATCGGTTCTTGTCTGTGTGTGTGTGTCGAAGAAGCAGAAAAGGCTCCGCCTTCTTTCCTGGGTGTGGCCCTCATGCACTCAGAGTGCTGAGACTGGCTATAGTGTCCTGTCAGAAGGGAAGTAAACCACAGGAAAGCATCAAGACTACAAACATAAAAACCACACACACTGATTCCATCCAAGTTCTACAAGAAGTGGACAAAGGGAAAGAAATAAAGAAAAAGTAGCCCTTTGTGGTAAAGGGCATGCTGGGAAGGCGAGAGCCTGAGCCGCACTCCCAGAGCATGCTGGGAGGATGGCACCAGAGTCGCCTCTTTAGAGCATGCTGGGAGACGGACACCAGTACATCTCCAAGGGCTGCACTTCCCCCAACTCCCACCCTGTTCCCTTACCCACCCCCAACCCGGAGACTAGAGGAAAGTTTATCCAAAGATGACTGTGGAATGGGAATGCCACGGTTCTTCGCAGGCCCCCACACTGTGGGGGTTAAGTCAGCCAGTAGGGAGAACAGTCAAGATGAAGACAGAGAAACAGAGAGGCAGAGAGAAAATGGGGTCTGACAGTGGCTGGAGAGGCCAGAGTGTTGGCAGAGGACACGGGGAGGGTAGAGCAGAGAGCTGGATGTCGCTAGCCGGAGGCGTTGATGTACAGCTGACTCTTGAGGATGTAGTCGATGACTGGCTGGGATAGGTAATCCACGACATGGCCGTCCCCATGCTGCAGGGCCAGCCTGCACGAGAAGAAATAGCAATCAGGTGAACAGCTATGCCCAAGAAAGTTCACAGCCCTAGCCAGCCCTCTGCCTTTCAGGAAAGGGTCTAAAGGTGCCCCCAGCACCCTGCCAGTAGCCTTTGCCTGGGATGAGTGAGCAGTGTTGGCAACATCCCCATGCTCACACAGACTTCCTCCACTCCCAAGTGACACCTTCATCCTGTCCTGCCACTGAGTAGCTCAGAGACCTTGGGGAAGATGTTTTATTTTATATTTCCTTTCTGTGTGTGTGTGTGTGTGTGTGTGTGTGTGTGTGTGTGTGTGTGTGTGTGTTTCTGTCTGTGTATACATGTACCATAGCATATATGCGGAGATCAGAGGACAATATGTGGAACTCAGTCCTGCCCTTTACCAGGCGGGGCCCAGGGATTGAACTCAGGTTGTCAAACTTGGGTTCAAGCTCCTTTACCTACAGAGCCATCTCATTGGCCCATTAGGCAAGTTAGTTAAGCCCCTTTCTTCAGCCTTCCCTTCAGTACAAGTAAGGTAATATTTAAATGAGTTATATCCAATTATTTAAAGGATTAAATGAGTCATTATGCCAAGCATAGGGTTGACATTTTAGCTTTCCTATTTTGTTTTCTTTTAATAGACTTTTTTGTGTATCCCTAAGAACTCTTAGTTTATCCATTTGAGTTTCTCTGAGACTGGCCTCATGAAAACTGGTCTTCTAGAGGATTCTTTGGCTTGAGCTCGCCTTTCCCTCCTGCAGGAGCCCATAGCCATGAGTGCACAGAGGAACAGCAACAAGTGAAAGATTCCAGGGACAAATCAATTCTTCCTACACATTTTTCTTCTGCCTTCTGCTCTGTTCATTCCTTATACAACAGTCTCAGGATGTCACTGAACCTGGCATGGAGCCTGGCTCTCTGCCTTCAAGGCAAGCCCTGCCTTTACCTTACAAGGCACGTTCTGAAGTGTCTCCCTGCACATTGAAGCTTTCTGAAAAGTGGCCTCCAAATAACATTTGCAACTTCATCAGACTTGGCAAAGAAGCCTGAGTCTGAGTCCAATCCCAGAAAACTCTGGTCTGGTTGAACCAAGTGGAACACAGGGGTTTGTATGGCCAGAGAGTAACTTTCCCAGTCTAAGGAGCAGCCATGTTGGAACCGAAGCCCTGCCCACGATCCTTGATTTCTGCCCTAGCCTCCCAGGGGCTGCTATTCTTGTGATAGTCTCCATCATTGCCTCCCAAGGGAAATCCAGTCAACTATTTGAGTCCTTGGTTTATTTGACTTCCTGAAATATGGAACTAAGATGGCAATGATCTCCATTTGAACTCAGTTAGGGGCATCCCTGTTGGGGCTTCTAACTGCTCCTTGGCCTTCACGGAAATGCTAGAAAGCTTGCCGTGTTACTGATAGCTGCTTTCTCTTCACTGCTTGACTTTGTGAGCTCATCTGGATCTGGATTTTTTTTCTCAATGAATCAATAGCATATGTGTCTGAGAGAGAGTGTGTGTGTTGCACAGTGCAAGCATGAGACTCAGAGGACAACTTTTAGGAGTTGGTTCTGTCTTTCACCATGTGTATCCCAGGGATTGAACTTTGGCTGTTAGGCTTGTCAGCCAGTGCCTTTTTGCTGGATGAGCCAGATTATTTTACCTGACACATATGCTCATGGCTCTTAGATTATACTTCAAAACTTCTTTGTCCTGTGTATCTCACTATTTCACAGGACATTTCCATTTGAAGTGTATGGAGGAGACTGTTAACAGTCCCTAATATTAATTCCTCCCCATTTTGTTTTTATTTAGATACATAGCTGCCATGTTTTCCAGCCTTCCTCCATCCATGGGTTACTTACAACTCTGGGCTACTTCATTACTTATTTTTTTAAAAAAAATATTTATTTAGTCTTATTCTATGTGTATGTGTGTTTTGCTTGCATAAATGTCTATGTATCTATCATATGTATACAGTACCTGCAGAGGCCAGAAGAGGGCATTGGAGCCCCTGGAACTGTACTTATACATGGTTGTAAGCTGACATGTGGGTGCTAAGAATACACTCTGGGTCCTCTGGAAGAGCGGCCAGTGCTCTTAAACACTGAGCCATCTCTCCAGCCTGTTTATGTATGTATGTATGTATGTATTTATTTATTTTCTGTTTATTTATTTTTTATTTTTTTTTAAAGATTTATTTATTGTGTTTACAATGCTCTGCTTACATGTCCGCTTCAACACCAGAAGAGGGCACCAGACCCAATTACAGATAGCTGTGAGCCACCATGTGGTTGCTGGGAATTGAACTCAGGACCTTTGGAAGAGTAACCAGTGCTCTTAACCTCTGAGCCATCTCTCCAGCCCCTGTTTATTTATTTTTGAAATAGGCTCTTGCTATGCAACCCAGGCTAGCACTGACTTTTTATCCCCTGCCTCCACTTCCTGAGCGTATGAACCGTAGTGCCTGAGCTGGTCACTTTAAAGATGAAACCTCCTGCCTTGGGCTTCACCTTGTTCTTTATCACAGGCTGAGAACAATCTAGACAGTAGATATGATCCCAACAGTGTAGCTTCAGACTGAAGAGACCAGACTCAGACCCCTTGGACTTCTATAAGTGAGAACCACACAACTACCTTATTTGAAACTTTGAATTTTGAGACCATTTTAGTAGCGGCCTGGCTTATACTTTTACTAAATAATGCATGACTTTATCAACACCCAAAACTAAAAGTCTAATACTAAAGACATCCTCTTCTTCCCTCAAGGCAATTAAGAGCAATGAATGTACTGTTTCCTCATTTAAAAGTAAACATGGATAAATGCATGAAACCCAAAGAGGAGACTGAGTGCTGGGCAAGTGTCCACTTGAATTTAAGAGTTGTGTGATTGTTTCAATGAGAATTACTCCCATAGGCTCATATGTTTGAACACTTAGTTCATAAATTGGTGGAACTGTTTGGAAAGGACTAGGAGGTGTGGCCTCATTGGAGGAGGTGTGTCCCTGGGGGTGGGCTTTGAGGTCTCTCTGCCTCCTGATTGTGTCTCAAGATGAGAGTTTGAAGCAACTGCCCCATCTCCATACCTGCCTGCCTGCTGCTCTGCTCCCTGCCATGGCAGTCTAGGACTCGTTATCTGAAACTCTAAACCCCAAACAAACGTTTTCTTCTATTCGTTACTTTGGTCATGGTTCTTATCATAGTAATAGAAAAGCCAACCAAGGCAGGTTATGAAAACATTTAAACCAGTTTGACCAAAGTGTCCCTGACTATTGTCAGCCATACCTGCTCTTGGTGGAGCTGACTACAGACATGGGATGGTTGATGTCATCCTTCACCACCATGATGTTGTTCTGGAAATAGAGCAGAAAGAAAACAGGTCACTAGTCCCTCTTGTGGGCTACTGTGCTGGTTGGAATAGGTATGGCCTCCATAGACTCATGTGTTTGCTTGGTCTTTAGGGCATGGCACTATTAGGAGGTATGGTCTTGTTGGAGTAGGTATGGCCTTGTTGGAGGAATTGTGCCACTGTGGGGATGGGCTTTGAGGTGTCATATGCTCAAGCCAGTGTGACATGCAGTCTCCTGCTGCCTGCAGATCAAGATGTAGAACTCTCAGCTCCTTCTCCAGTACCATGTCTTCCTGCACAGTGCCATGCTTCCCACCATGATGACAATGGACTAAATCTCTGAACTGCAATCCATCCCAATTAAATATTTTACTTTATAAAAGTTGCCATAAGCCAGGTGATGGTGGTGCATGCCTTTAATCCCAGCACTTGGGAGGCAGAGGCAGGCAGATCTCTGTGAGTTGAGACTAGACTAGTCTACAGAGTGAGTTTCAGGACAGTCAGGGCTACACAGTGAAACCCTGTCTTGCAAAACCAAGATGAGTTGCCATGGTCAAGATGTCTCTTCCATCAATAGAAACTCTTGAGACAGCTACTTTTGTTGCCTCGCTCTTCCTATCCCCAGAAGTTTCAGAGAAGGGCTGTGTCACAGGGATCTACCAGCAGAGGACAGAAGACTCACTTTGTATTTGCGGAGTATTGAGGAGTGATTCATGATTCTGTCTGTGTCAGCTGCATCCCGGGGCACCACCACAATCCCAAAGTCCCCAACAATCACCTCCATCTGAAGATGGGGAGGGAGAGAGAAGGGGGAAGAGAGCAAAACAACTTTAGTGAGATGTGTCACCCCAACCTCATACCAAGTGACTACAACGGAGTGGAGTGACATTCTGTTTGTTTTACCTGGAACTTCAAACATTAGCTTCCAATTTACCTTCTCAGTCCCATCAGTCAGCAACCTGAACTACTGATAGTAGTCTTCGTAGAATGAGTGGGGGCCTTGTCTGGCACAGAAGATGCTTAAGAAACACTTCTAGAATGCACCAACACCCTTTAGCATGCCTGAACAGGACCTTTCTAATTCTCAAAGCTCTTGTTTGAGTTCACAGTGTTGCAGACTAGCATGAGTGTCCAGTAAATACCCTCATGGTTGAAACTGATTCCGTTGTCTAGCATGTTCACCTCAGCCCTGAGTGGGACAGCATGACAGAATATTTTGCTCCCTTCTGTCACATGGCCCAGACATATACTATAGGACTCCAGTGCAACCAAAAGCAGAGCATGGGTAGTGATGAGGGTGCTGGTTAATTTACAGGAGTCACTTCTGAGATCAGCCTCTGGTGGAAGCTTGATTCTTCATAAGAAATGAAATCTTTCATTAAAAACAAAAACACTTTTTTGTGAGTGTTGTTGAGAAAGGATCTTGATATATAGCCTCAAACTTACCATCTACTTTTCTTAGCCTTCCAAATGCTGAAATGACAGGTCAGAGACACTACACCAGCCCTTTATTTTCTTTTTTCTAATTATAGATATAATTAGATATATAGATATAACACAAGCTTGGAAAATACAGAAAAAAATAGAAAACAACATCACACAATGCTGGTACCCACAGTTAACCCCTCAGAGTATCCCAGGGTTTTCCTTTCTATGGACAACTGTGTTAGAGCCACCTTAGCACTAGACTACAAGGTAAGGCGTGAGGTTGTAGCTCAATGGTAGGGTGCTTTCACAGCATGCACGAGGCCCTGGGTTCTCATCCCACACACTGAAAATAAAAGTTAAAAATCAATTGCTTAAGTAGTAATTACCTGCATTCTCTTTTGTGGCAAGATTTATTTTAACTCTGTGTGTGTGCCCATGCGCACGTGAGCACATGCACACTCGTGTACAGATGCCCGTGGAGGTCAGAAGAGAGCCACTGGGCGGACTTATGGACAGTTATGAGCTGCCTGATATGAGTGCTAGGAATGAAACACAGGTCCTCTGTAAAGTCAGCATACACTCTTAACTACTAAGTCACTTCTCCAGCCCCAACTTGTATTATTTTCATTTAGCATTATATTGAGAGGATTCTGTAACATAATTAAGATTGTCTGAGGGCCAGCAATATGGGTTAGCAGGTAAAAACACTTGCCCTCAAGTCTTCGGACCAGATTTCAATGCCTGAAACCCACATGGTAGAATGAGAGCCAATCCTGCAACCTGGCCCTTAACCTCCATGCCATGCATTCCACACTAAATAGATAAATAAAAATTATGTGTAAACATGGCTTTTTAACGTTTTCTATCGTTCATCATGGTCGCATAGTATGGAAAGTTTATAGTAGCTTCATAGTTGCTGCAACACAATTTTGATACCAACACTTTGATGAATACCTTTATACATAAATCTTTTATCACCGCTCTAATTATTTCCTCAGGATAAGAAGCAACATAACTGGGTAAAAAAGGATGTGAACTGGAAGTATTTCAAGCTCTTAAGACATATTACCAAATCACCTTCTAGAAATGCACTGATGTTAATTTTCAGGGAACTTGGAATTTATAGCATTTGGTAGGCTTGGAGCAGATTTAGATCTCCCAGTTATGAATCCCAGAGGAGGAAGGACATTGCTGTAAGCAGTTCAGCTCACTCAGCAAAATCTGCTTTGGGGTAAAGGACTCAGAATCCTGTCCTCCCCCCCCATAATACTTCTAACTAGTTTCACAAGCACAGAAATGATGAACAGTGGTCTGTTGTGGAATATTGTCTTAACTAGGCAAAAAACGTGTTACATTTATTTATGCTGCATTTGTTTAATGATGTAAGGATGTGTGTTTAATTATGGAAAGATGCAGTGCATTTTTTTTCCACATTGCCTGCCCAAGGCACTTGATTGTTCTAATAAAGAGGTGAATGGCCAATAGGTAAGCAGAGAAAGGATAGGCGGGGCTGCCAGGCAGAGAGAATAAATAGAAATCTAGGAGTGAAAAGAGGAGGAACCGGAGAAGGAGGCTAGAACAGGATACACCTGGGGCAAGAAACCAGGCAGCTTCCAGACAGACAGACAGACATAGAGAAGCAGTGAAAGTAAGCTATCCAGAAGAAAGGAATACATCCTGAGGCAAAAGGTAGATAAAGAGAAACAGTTAATTTAAATTAAGAGTTAGCCAGAAATGTGCCTAGGCTAGGCTGAGCATTGAAAACTAGTAAGTCTTTGTGTCATGATTTGGGAGCTGGTTGGTGACAGAAAGAAAAAGTTTGGTGCAGTGTGGTCCATTCTTCTCTACCAAAAAATTTCATACTGTTAGAATGCCATTGTAAGCCTGATTCAGTGTGTATGTGGTGTGGTGTGTGTGATGTGTGAGTATATATGTATGTGGGGTGGGGTGGGGTGGGGGGTGGTAGGATGTGGGGTGTGTAGTGTGCATTTGCGTGTGTGTGTGTGTGTGTGTGTGTGTACATGTGTGCACGCGCACTTGTGTACGTGATGCATACCTTTGAGTGTTTCCAGCTACCTTTACTCTGCTTTCCCTATTGCTTAACAACTGCTTGCAGCTAGAACTCTGATGGTGTTGAAATAAAGGTCGGCCTTGAGCACTCTAGGTGGAGAGAGTCTTCGCTTGGTCCCATCATTTACACCCAGAAAAGCATGCTTTATCTAGTAAGTTTGATTTTAAGTTTGCTTCAAGGCTTTGTCCTATAGGCCTGGACAGGAACCTGCAGGGAGACCCAGCTCCTCTTGTCATGGCTTTAGAACATGCGCTGGGTTCACTATTGAGTAACTGAGTCTCACACTTGTCTATCTGTACATTAGACTTGCCTGAGGAGGGACAATGAGATGGCTCAGTGGTCAGAGACACTTGCCACCAAGTCTGATAATGTGAGTTCAATTCTTTGCACCCATATAGTAGGAGAGAACCAACCCCTGAAACTTGTCCTCTGACCTCCACACACATGAACTGTGGTGCATGCGTGCATGTCCACACATGCACACACAAAACAAACAAATCAAAATAAATAAATACACTTTTAAAATTGAAAAAAATTACCTAAAGAACTTTAAAAATCCCAAACATGTACCTCATACCCAAGATCAATTAAACTAGAATCTCTCAGAATGGGACCCAGACATCAGTACTTTAAGAAAAGAAAATTCTCCATGTAATCCCAATGTGCAGCTGAGTTCATGAGTCAGTCATATGTAGACTTAGAACTGTAAAAATTTGCATCCCAGGGGAGATAAAGAAGCAGGGAAGGGAGAAAAGAAAATTCACTGAAGTGGGGCACACAGACCCCTGCTTCTGGAGATGTTTTAGGATAATCTTGTGTGAGTAATGGCAGGCCTGCCTCCCACTGCTTGCCTCTAAGAGCCAGATAATGCACATTTGATGGGAGCTCTCTGGACGATGTGTGTGATAATGAATGTGGTGAGCATTCTAGTTTAAAGTGTGAACAGAACGACTCTGAATGGCAGTTGGCGCTCATGAGGGAATTGCGCTCTGGGTGGTATCAGTCCAGCTGCTGCTTTCCACTCTGGACCTAATGATATGACGCTCAATCAGTAACTGTGCCAGGGCTTGCTGGGTAGCAGGCAGGTGGAGCTGTTGCTGCTGGAGATATTTCTCCTTTCTAATAGTGGGTGACAGACTTGCCCCTGGGAACCCCAGATGGAGTGAGGGAGATGGTGTGGCCTGCAGATTAGCAGTGTCTCTCCCTGGATTCGAGTCAGACACTAGAAATAATCTCTGATGTTTGTGGAGGTAGGCTTTTTGTTCCTGCCACAGACTGTGTGGTTGGACAGGGATGCCGGGTAGTGAACTGCCCTCCCCAGGAGAGTCCAGCTGTCCACCCTGCCCCCATTCCCTCTGCTTCAGGCTCCCAGCTAGACCCCTATCTCTCCCCACCTTTCTCCCTCTGTGATGCTCATTTTTTGGCCTCTGTGCTTATTCTCACTCTTCTCTGACCTCGACATGCTAGACTCTGCCAGGATTCACTGCCCTTGGACTTTACACTCATACCCTTAATTATTTCATTCCATTTTGAAGCTAATATAAAGACATGCAAAGGGCTCTTGAATCAATATTTCCAGCATAGGGTGCATTTCTATCTTAATGTGTTCATGAGCCTCTGGACCTACTACTAGAAGCAGGCTCTCTGGAATTGTGAATGAGACTATCCCTCATAGGCTCTGGTGTTTGAATGCTTGGTCCCAGTTAGTGGAGCTGGTTGGACAGGTATGTGACCTTACTGCAGAAACTATGTCTCTGGCTACTGTAGGATGATAATTCTGTATGCTGTGAATATGTATTCTTACCATTGGTTAATAAAGAAGCTGCTTTGACCTATAGCAAGGCAGAAAAAGGTCAGGTGGGAAAACCAAACTGAAAATAGAAAGAGGAACAGGGAGGATTCTGAGGAGATGCCAGCCAGCTGCTGGAGCAGTAGGATGTACTAGACCACAGGTAAAGCCACAAGCTACATGTCAATAAGCAGATTAATAGATATTGGTCACTTTAATTAATTGTAATTAATTAGTAATTAATTAATTTAATTGTAAGAGACAGTTGGAAATAAGCCTGAGTTATAGGCCAAACAGTTTGTAATATACTTTTCTATGTGATTATTTGGACCATGTGGTCAGGACACAAAAGCTCAGCCTCTGTTTACAACCGGGAACAGGCTTTGGGGTTTCAAAGCCTCCTGGCATTGTCAATGCACTCTCTCAGCAGTCATGCTCAGTAGAGGGACTGCTGGAAAAGTCCTAGTCACAGGGGCCCAGTGAACCACAGATGCAT